TGTTGAACTGAGAAAGAAAAGTAGCTCCCAATCAGTACTTAGGCAAAAAAAGATAAAATGAATGAGCACAAGATGGCGGGTACTCACTACGATGAGGTGTCAAAGTAGTTTACTGCCGAGGGTAGTAGGTTGTTGGTGGCCGTGCTCCTCCACCTCCTCGGGGATGATAATGGACTTGCTCTATCATTGGATAGTCTTCGGGTCAAGGACAGGATGCTTCCCCTCAATGCCAGCCTTTGAGGTACCAACCTCCTTTGTTCTGGGTGTGGGATGGCATACCTCAGTTTCCCATACGTTGTTGGAATCTATGTTAGTCCCCCTAGGGCTCATCTTTCACGAGATCGACGACCTTGGTCCCCTCCTACTTTGTTGGTGTGGGCAGCACAGCCTCCTCGGTTCAAGGAGTGTCCCAATCAGACATCTTCCTCTTCTTGGTCTTGCTCTTCATTCGATCGAACAACCCGGAAACATTGACTCTAGATCACAACATGTCTCCTTTATAGACAAGAAGAAATGAAGAGCGTAAGCCAAACTGCCAAAGTGGTGAAACCAATGTAGAAAAACCAAGGTACAGATAGGAGTAACCTACTCGGGAGACTCAGCTTGGCTCAAATCAGCTCCTCCTCGGCTAGGAACTCACTGATCAGTGACTTCCTAGCGACTAGGACCTGCATCCTTTCTTGCAGACACTCACTCAAGGCTGAGTCATCTTTGATGTCCCTAATGGCCGTCTTTAATTCCAAGGTGAAGGGCTTCCCTTTGCCCATGGAATGGAATAAATTCCTCGTCTTCGAAGCCGGCACCTTGGAGGGAAGACACCTAACCGTTTACAACAAGGTCGATAGGGCAAGTAGAAGTGGAATTCCTTGTCAAGGTTTCACTTCAGTTGACACAAGCCGGTAAAAGTCTAGATGGTTAAAGGAAACTCAAAGCAGTGGCAGAAAGAGGTGGTGCCAAACATGGTTTTGATGGAAATAAGGTGGAGTTGAGCTAGGTTAATGCCATAGTAGTTCATGACCTCGGAGATGAAGGGGTGAAGAGGAAACTTGAGCTTGGCCTTCAAATCCTCCTCAAAGACATAGAGCTCGTCTTTCTCATGGTCCCAAGGCATTTGCTTGGGGATGGAAAGGTTAAGACCAAATTGGTTAGGGATCCTATATCGGGTTGCTAGGTGAAGCACGTCCTCAGCGGTTCATTTCGTTGGACCAAATTCCATCTGGGATTTTGGTTGTCGACGTGGGGTTGAGGCCCCCTTTATGGGAGCCTCTCTGTTCTTGTGCTGAGGACCCTTGGCATGAACAACCCTTCGTCCCTCTCCCTTAGACCTACCACTAGATAAAACTTAAAAAGACAGAAAGGAAAAGGGAAGAAAATGAGAGGACTCATTGAACTACAAAGAGAACTGACCTCGCTGACCTCAATTAACCATGTTAAGCTCTCCAATCATTATCCTCTTTGACCTCACTCGAAGCTTAGAAAATAGATGCAAATGGGACCCCTCAAGGGCCCCTATTTATAGATGGGGAACTCGGTCAATTGACAGTCGAAATCGATTCAATCCGATGGATCAAAAGGGTGTGATGGTGTGATGGTTCGTCTTCCGAGGCCCAAAAATGAACTTAACGCATTTTTTACATTCACGGAGCTTAATCACTGCATGGCATCCACATGTGCAACACATGACCCAAGGTGGCCGAATCGGTTCGATCTTCAATCGCGACCTAATAAGGAACCGGCATCAAATGTCAAGCCATAATCACCGTGAACTGAGTTACTCCCTTCGTTGAGCTTATCACCTCAGACTCGCGAGTGAGGGGCAATCGAACCATTTAATGACACTTTGACGTGACGTGGGAACAAGTTGCACCCAGCCAGGTTGGCATAAGACGACTCGCTGGACCTACATCTCGACCGATGTAAGACCGACGGTTCACTCCATAGTGGTGTAGAGCAGAGCACATCACCTTGGGAGAACAAACCAATGACTTCGAATGCCGGGTTGACCTCCCTGACCTGGGGAACCTTTGACTTAAGTAGCTAGCTAACCTTTGGGATACTGACCTACGTGGCAGGCAGGGGTGACCTCGGTCCTTGCACACTTCAGAGAGACTGGATAAAGATCATCGCCAACACCGGTACAACATCCCTCGAAGATAATGAGTTGATAAGACCTATTGCTCCTAGATATCTCAGACACGACTCTTTGAGCCTGAGGCCTATAAAAAGGCACCTCCATGCCTGTATAAGATACACACAATTAAGTGCAAAACCATCTCTCTTGCTTTATGAATCTCTTTGCTTCCTTGCTCTCTAGCTCAACTAACTTAAGCATCGGAATGCCTAGCCTCGGTCCAAACCCCCGGATACTCCAATCTCTCTTCTCTTGCAGATCGGTCTAACGATCTCAGCTCCAGTCGTCTAAGCTATCTTCCAGCAATGAAGTTGGGCGATTTGTCCCAAATCAATATTGATCCTCGTAGCTTTTATAATTATACTTTGCTCTTGTCCATCCACGGTGTTCCATTTCCACCCTGATTCCATGGATTTATAAATGATTAGGCCCCTATATATTGGAATTTTCAACATTGACAAAACATAGATCCAATTGTTTTTATATGTACTAATTTTTGAATTCTGTAATACAATTTGAATGCAGTGTCCAGATAATCAGAATGAGGTAGAACCATTTTCCCTCTGGGTCATAGGTCAGTAGTTCAATTAGTCCGATCAAATTGGTCGACTTGTTGACATGTGATCCTATAGATTATATACATAATCATATAATGATACTGATTATACATATTTTAGAATATATAATTATTTTTGCATATAATATATGCATTTTCATTTTAGGTTTGATTTTTTTACTAGAAATTAAGATTTGAAGTTAAAAAGGTGAATTTTGACAAAAATTGTGGGACAAGTTGCCTTTGGATCCTTGGACTGTGTAAACCATGAAAAGTTACCCAAAATTAAAAGAAATTATCTCAATCCGACAACTAAGCACAAAGTTATGGCCTCAAGAAGTTTCTATATTGAAAAAAATAAAAATGTTGGTTTTATGATACCGGACCGGTTCATATGTTTTTTGGTTGAATTGGCCAATTGATTAGATTTGGCAGGTTTTCAAGTAGGAGTGCAAGTTGAGCAAGTTGAGTTGGGTTTATGATCAGCCTAAGCCCAAACATAAATATGTATGCAAAAATTTACATGTACACACACATATACATATGTATATTGGAAAAGGTGTAGATTAGAGGAGAGCTTGGGTCGGATTCGGGCTACTTAAAGACTAGGCCTGGACCCAACCCAATAAATAAAAAAGCCTGAATTCTTTGGCACAAGAGGTCTTTGCACCCTTACATTCAAGTTTTAATGGGGGAGGGCCCACTTTTTATGTTTCTGGTCCTATCTCCGGTTAGAATTATATAAATAATGGTTTTAAGTTTTAACAAAAAGTTTGAAGGAGTCAAAGACCCCACTGATATACTTGATTCCGCCCCTATTTGTACATTGCTTGAATTGCATATTCTTAGTACTTCGAATTGGGGGCTTGTTTTAAAAATAATACCGGACACGGAACCGTTTCAGGACCGGTTCTTGGGTTAAAAATAATTAAAATAAAAAATAACCAAAAATCATTTTTTGGATCAACAGGTCAACAGTTCGACTGTATGGGTCAGCAGCCCGCTGATCAAATCAATGGTTTTTGCCTCAAGAGCGGTTGTAGGGTAAAATGGAACCAGCTGCCTGACCCATTCATAGGTCAACCGATTTGACCGTCTGATCTGATCTGATCCGATTTTCAAAACCATGAATTCTGCCCAATAACACCTGAAGTAGCTAAAATTGAACTATCTTTTTTTTTATTTCTTTTAATTAATAAATAAATTTGCATCTAGATACGTTTTAGGCATTTGTGTTTTGAAAGCCCCAAACCACAATGCTCCACTTATCGGCTCATTTTTGTTTTTCACATTGCAAAATCTCAGACTCAAAGAGGCTACGAGTTCTATAATGGTTGAAGTTAAAGTTGAATTATATATATATATATATATATATATATATATATATTATATTTTATATTTTTATCTTGTAAAACAAATTAGTAATTCATTGAGTTGAACAAATTCAGCAATTATCAAATGACCTCTATACTTTTGTTTTTCCTTTCACAGGCTTTATTTTTTCTATCAAATTATTCTAAGTCCGACTATTTTTTTTTTTTTCCAAACAAAAGAGTGGTGATTAAATTGTATTGTGAGTAAAATTGTAAACTACCTTTGATATTTAGCCAAAAGATGAGCTAAAGTGTTCCAAGTCCGACTATTATATCTAAAAGCATGCATAACCAATCAACTATATCATAGAATTGGTAGCCAAATTTCTGGTATTCATCAAAGGACTCAATGAATCAACATATAGATGGGCAGTTGGCGGTTATTATCAACTTTATATTTATTTATTTTTCATTACTTCATATTTCATAATATGTTGTACTTTTACATTTAACAAAACACGATTATTCATGAAAATACCATGACATGTACATGGCTGCTCCACCAAACCTCAAGCCCAAGCATCTTCCAATCCTTCTTTCTCCTCTAGGATTGGATTTCCACCTAACGATCTAACAATAAGGGCATTTTGGTAAAATTATTGGATGATTATTAGACTGAAATACACGTCCACCCAATGCATAATACAACCAAAACAAAGACTTGGATTAAAGCTTAAAAAGTTAAAAGTTAAAACCTATGATGCCGGGAAATATATGATATCGAAAGAGCCTTAATCAATCAAAATTCATCCGAATAAAAGGAAAGGAAAAAATAAAATTGCTTTTGTAGTTAATAAATTAGGGTTGTTTGTGTCAATTCGTCAATGTGGTCGAGAGGGAAAAGAAATAGCAAACCGAGAAGTAATAACTAATAGGTCGTCGGTATGTGGGGGGTGGGGGCGTGGAGAGAGTGAGACTTTGAAGAGAGAGAGAGAGAGAGAGAGGGAGTAGAGAAATCGAGAAAGCAAGAAAATAAAAAAGAAAGGAAGGACAGTAGGACAGGGAAGGAGGGAAGAGTTTATTTTGTTAAGAGGGTGGAGGACAGATTTCTAAGCACCGATTCTCATCATCCTCTCCCTCTCCCTCTCCCTCTCCCTCTCCCAGAACAAAACAAACTCAATCCCATCTTTCCTCCTGTTTTCTTCCTGTCTATCTCTTGCTCTTTATCATCCTCCCCCGTCGTCTTCTGCTTCCGAGCAATCTGTTTTAACCCTAAATTTCTTCTTGTATTTCGCCCTTCTTGTTTCCTTTCTTCCGTTTCTTGTCGCCGAGGCCATGCGGAGGGGGAGAACAACCGCAGCGGCAACGGCAGCCGCGGCAGCGTTCACGACCTTCGGATCAGGATCAGGGAACCTCGCAAAAGAGACCAGATTTAGAGGTGTACGGAAGAGACCCTGGGGTAGATTCGCTGCCGAGATCAGGGACCCCCGGAAGAAAACTCGTGTATGGCTTGGCACCTTCGATTCCGCCGAAGACGCCGCCCGGGCCTACGACACCGCCGCACGCACCCTCCGTGGTCCTAAGGCCAAGACCAATTTCCCTCTATCATCACCCCCGCAGTCCTATCCTCTCCAGCAGCAGCAGCAGCATCACCACCACCACCACCATCTGGCTTTCCAGCAAAACCCTAATGACCCTCACTACAACCCCCAATTGCATACTCAGAACCATCATCAGCCGCAAAGGCCAACCTCCAGCAATATGAGCAGCACTGTCGAGTCCTTTAGTGGCCCTAAACTCTCTTCGGCTGTGCACTCCGTTGCACCGGGGCGCCACCATCGCCGGCAAAATCTCCCTCCGCCGCCGCCTATTCTTCCGGACGACTGCCACAGTGACTGTGACTCGTCTTCTTCGGTTATTGATGATGGGGATATTGTCTCTTCGTCATTCCGTAAACCCTTACCCTTCGACCTCAATCTCCCGCCGTTGGATGACGTCGACTTTGCTGGTGATGATTTCCAGAGCACAGCCCTGCGCCTTTAATTGCTGTCTCGGGCTATTTTAATTTCCTTTTTCTTTCTCTTTGTTTAACCTTTCATCCGGATAGAAGATAAGATGATAATCGTCTTTCTTCCATGAATCAATCGCTTGTTTGGGGGTTGAGGAGAATTTGGGTTTTCCTTTTTCTTACTTTACTAGGTTTACAGGTGGATTAGTGTATGCTTATATGCGATCTGGGGGGTTTCTTCAACTACATGGGCTTAAGTAATGTAGTCTATCTTGTTGAAGTTTATATAAGATCGTATTAGGGGTTCGGATCTGGTTTGGCTTTTCTTCTTCCTGATCTGCTGAAACCTCTCTGTACCCATCCTTTCTGTACAAAGATATCTAATTCAATGATCAAGAAAGAGAATTAAAAGCTCTATTTACAGTTTTGTATTCATCTTTCTTTCTCTTCCTCTCCCATTATGCATATATTCTAATTGCTTTTGGGTATCTAATATGTATTAGTTTGACAAAAAAAAAAGTTGAATGCATCCAAAGAAATGAGACGAACTTCAATTAACGCTGGGGATGGGAAATCAGCAGGGAAGTTGATAATGGTGTTCTGGGTTCTTTGGTTTGGTGAATGTGTGTGTGTGGACCACATTGCTTCTTTTTTTTTTCCTTGATCCATCCATTTCCACGTGGAAGCGTAACATGTTCATGTTTGAACTTTGAAGATTTATCCATCTTCTGGTTTGATTGATCCACAGCCTTGTGTTGATCCATAGTTATCCATCTTTGATCATGTGGGAGAATCAAACAAAAGAAGAAAAAAAAGGGGTCCTTGAGAATTCAGAATTGTAAAATATAGAAAGAATCATTCAACGAGGCAGGGGGTGGTGGAGGTGCATTGATCGTGTCAGAAGAGTTTGCTTGGCAGCTCGTGGTGAAGGCATTGAGTCTTGAGTCTTGACAGGCAACCCATTAATTGCACATGTGATGCTGGTTCGCCATGTTTTGTGGTTGTGTTGAGAATTGGTTTGGTATGGGTGTTTCTACTTTCTGCATTCTACTTTCTTTTTCTGTGTCTGTCCTAATTTCTCCTTTTGATCTTTTTTTACATTATAAAGAGATGGGATAATTTTCAAGTATTTTAATTGGATTTGTGGGAAGTTTTTAATATAGTATTAACTTCAATGGAAAGAAGAATTTGAACCCACAATGTCCTCATCCAAGTTGTGAAAAGATTTCACTCTTCTTTTCACACCTCAGGTTACATAGGGGTGTAAACCGGGCTGGACAAAATTTCAACCCTGGTGCACTTCTTTTACAAAAGTATTTCATTTGAATAAACGATGCCTTGGGCGCCGAAACCAAACAGTGGTTTTATGTATAATAAACATTTCAACAAACGATGCTTAGGTGTAAACAAAACAGTGGTTTTATGTACAATGAACATCAATGCTTATATAGTGGTGTTTTTCAATAAATGCCTACAGAACCAAACATAGCTTAAATGGTTTCTCTCTATTTCATTTTAAATTAATCTGCAGTAAATGTGGAATTCTCTAGTGGCAACGGGATGGTGTGGTGCCTTCTACTTCGCTTCAGTCCTCGTTGGCTGCTAGTACTAAATATAGTCCTTCCACGCAGTTTCCAAGCGCCCGTAAGTCTATGACCCATCTCTCTCTCTCTCTTGTCATTAACAAATTCTCTCATATGCTACCTACTTACAGCGTTTAAACTTTAAAGGGTTATAGAAGAGCCAGAGAATCTGGCTTCCTTCTCATCAGGCTACGTGATTTGGGATCAACTAATATAAGCCTATCTTACTGCAAACTAAACTTCAACACCCAGAGGCTGAGGGGCCTCTTATTATTCTTATTGATGCTTTGTGGACATGTGGTTGAGGAGTTCATGGTTGATAAAAAAACTTGTAACATCAATTCATGATTAATAAGAAAGAGTAATGGGTGGGTGTGCTTTCATCCCGGAGAATTCATAAATATGAGATTGGGCCAAAGTTGATACATACCGAATCACTTTGGCATAAGTGGGTTGAACAGGTCTGTAAGTAGTTGGAGAGAGAATGCTTTTAGTTAAAACTTCTTAGAAAAGGAAAAAAAAAAAAAAGACACCCTGGAATTGTTTAAACAAGATTTCTAATATTAAAAAGGCCAACTCTTGGACGAAATTGCCAACCTTGGTTGTTGGTATAAGGTTCTGTTGAGTGTTGAGTTGAGTAGAGCTCTTGTCTTAAGTGGTTGGATTTGGATGGGTCATGGGTTGCTTTCACCAATTCACTTGGCTTCTTCCCTGCACAGAAAAGTGCAAAACATCGATTGAGCAAGTTGGGTTTCGATCAATTCTAATGTATTTATCATTAATTTAACCAGAAAATTGATTTGGCAATTTTCTTATACTATCATTAGAAGATGTTCCCAATATATGACTGGGATGTGTTATTGGACATTGTGGGGTGCCCCCTCATGGGAGATTGATCTGAACTCCCTTTGTTAATACTGAATCCATCCACCCATCTAATATTTTCTTTTGGCTCGGTTTCAGGAATACAAATATAAATATGTAGAATGCAAAACCTTGCATTTTGTACTGTATATATTTGTATTTGTACTGTATTTTCTTCCAAAGTGGGCCTTGTATATGGTGTGTATCACTTCTCGATAGTTTAGAGTTTCTCACTTATTAAAACCCGGTGCTCTCCAACTCGTAACCCTATGGGACTTTTGGGTAATACATTTGTTAATATTTTTCCTGTTTTGAAATTTATATCGGAACTAATAGCGTTTTAGACTATGATATGAAGTTTGAGATAATAGCTAGGTAGATTGTTTACTAATTTAAGTTGAAAAACGAACCAGATGCTTAAGATCGTCTACCCCAATTCGGCACCAATTAGCTATTTTGTTTACAATTTAAATTTTAAAAGGAATTGCCGTTTGTTGTGTGATTCCAAATTTTAAGGGATTCGATTTATGAAGTAGTTGGGCTTTTATTTATTTATTATTAACTTTTGGGTGCCCAGTCCACCTCGTTCCTTACTGTTCTCATTTCACTCACAGAATTAGACGTTCATTAACTCCCCAACCATTATCCGAAAAGGAAAAAAGAAAATAAAAAAAAAAGAAAAAGAAAAAGAAAAAGAAAACTCAACAAATTTAAAGAGATCAGTAGTTGACAAGTAGACTAAATGTATGAATATAATGGAGTAATGGACCACGACGAGAGGAGGGTCAAAAAGCTTCTTTACATAACGCGTTTAGTATATATAGTAACCAAAGAAAAGCCTCTAATAAGCCAAATTAGCTGTTTGTGCCCTTGTTTGAAAGGAATCTATCTACATTGGACAAGAGCTATTTCTTTATTTCTTTTTTTTTTTTAAGTGAATTACATATTACAATATGAATGTTGGCCGCTAGGCATCACCAAACCAGAAATCGTTAAAAAATGAATAAACATGCCAACTGTTATACAATTTCTTGGCTGTTTATTTATATAGGATGATATAATATGAGTATCAGTCTCCCTCTGTTAGCAAGAATTAAGGATTTGTTTGGTTCTTGGGAATAGGGGTTTAGAATTGGAATTAAAATGACCTATTTTAATTCAAACTATCTGATTGAGTGGAATTGAAATTTTATTCTCATTTTTGTTAGAATGAGGTTTTCTCATTTAAGAAATTACCCATTTAAGAGGAATTTCATACGGCGACTTATGGTGAAAATGGAAGGAAAATCAAAGGTTTGGGTCTAAGAAAGGGGACTCTGTGAACAACAAGGGAATTCCATTCAGATAGTAAGGCTCAGTTTACAAGAAATACAAATGTAAATACATACAAAATAATTAATGCAAAATATAAGATTTGTACTCCACATATTTGCATACTCTTTTCAGACTGAATCAATGATTTGATTTGATTTTGATGACAAGCAGAGACGAGAATTAAATAGAAGTAAAGGCGGGAAAGGAGTAATTGAGTATATTGAATAATTGAAGCAGCCTGCCCCATCCAACAATAAATAAATAAAGCATGGGCTTGACTAATCACTAATGTATGTCCAGTCCACATTAACATAATTTGCAATTAAATTAAATAATTTTATATTATTTGATACGTTGTGTGCGTTCAAGAGTAATGTACTGTGTGTGACTCTTCCCTAGACTGGAACGGTGTGCAACTGGACCCACGGCCCAAATCACAGCTTCTGGTGAGTTGGGTTGGGCCCACCTACCTTTCACCCCATTTACAACCCCGAAAAATCAGTGCACGGAATGTCCACCGAAGTGCTTACTATTGATGGGAGTTGGACCTACTTTCTGATGATACTCCACCCAGTTTTATGTTTCATCACAACCGTTCATTCACAAAAGCAACGGTGTTGATCATGTAATCTCATTCTCATCTTTTGCCCAGTCAGTCAGTAGGTCCCACTCCCACCTGCTTTAGTGCTTTACTGGAAGTCTGGAACAGAGCTGCAAATGTAAACACAATCACAGTTTTTTCTGCACGCCCGAGCAAATTCTCCGCCACCGCCAGGAGAAAAAGGGCCCGGCGGCCGCGGCACGACGGCAGCATATATGATATATCAAATCAAACCTCAAGTCAAAAAACAATGTTCCTTAATCTTGGACCGCTGAGATTCTTCCTTCACTGGACACTGAATATAAACGGTCCAAACAGAACTTTTTAGTTTTTACCGTGAAGTCCGCCAAAATGTTTATTCTTTGACGGAATTTCCGCGAGTTACGGTTCGGTTCATCCGATCTGAGCCAGGAGCCCAGGACATTGGAATACGAGCAGGGGGCAGAGCACAGAGAGGCAGAGAGAGCAGGCAGCATAATTCTCGCCCTCTTGCTTTTCCGCATCTTTTAGTTTTTTGTTTTTACTTTTTAGGGCTCCATAGTCCGTCCATACTACACAGTCATAACCAATCAATTGTTATTCATCCAACATTTTAATTCTTAAGGCTGCATTTGAAAACGATGCAAACAAGTGTGAATACAAATTTATAAATTGTAAAATGGTTAATTTAAATTGTAAAGTTGAGTTAGTTTAGTATCCACAAATTTACTTTCTTATCAAACAGACTTTTAATTATAATGGATGTAAATATGAATTCCAATAAAATATGTTTTTATTTTTTATCAAAAGCCTATTTAAATACTATTTTTATTGATCTACTTTTACATCTTAATATCAATATAAATATGTATCTGTCATTTATCAATTCATAAATGTAATATTATCAAACACGACCAAAAATAAACCAGAGTGCAAATTTATCCTAAACCTAAACCAACACCCGATCGATACATACAAACAAGGCATAGAAATAAATTGCAGTTCATGCCTTGATGGGACGTTTTGGACATATTTTTCACTGCTCTGTGTTGGTGTCTTTGTGTTTCTTTGGGAGGTAGCAAGGATATATGGCT